ACGTTCGGGGCTATCCCAAAGTCCGATACCGTCGACGATGCCATTCGGTTTATTCACGATCTTTCTTGTATAGCGGGGTAATGCTCAAACGACATTACCAACGTCGATTCTCTTCCACCGCTCACGTACGTGCACGTCGCTCCATTAACACGTCGAATCGAGGACCTCCACAGGAGGTTTCTACGTGCTCGGGTATTGATCCTGAAGGATTACGTTCACGGAGCATATCGCCATCTACGTCATCACGCTGATTATGTCGTGTGGATGTGCGGTTGCAGCCACGACGGTATCGCTGGAATTGTTGATCTATCAGCGTCGTTTGGCTGGAACGGATCACTTGCTCTCTACGGTATTTTCGAGAATGCGATCTGTCACATTGTGGTGAACACGATTTCTGCAGGGCTACCCCCAGACGGCAGCACGGACACGACCGCATACTTTGCCTACGCGTGGGTGGACGACCACGTTATGACTGAGACCGACATCGGGACGCGATGTGCCACCGCCGAGGATGCGTTGCACCTAGCTATGCTCGCCGACCTCGGACCCCACGCGATCAACGAGCAGAAATTTACGTAGGTGGGCGATGCAAATCTCGGCTCTTGGCCTCGAGTGGGACACGGAGGCCTGCACAGTATCTATTCCGACAGCCAAAATTCCAAAGGCTCGCGCACGAGTGGCGTCGTCGAGTAGTGACACACGGATCCAGAAGCGCGCGCTGGACCAGCTTCTCGATAGCCTGCGGCACGTGGCCTCGTGCGTACCGGCCGCCGGCCATGTTACCAGCGCCTTAATGCACCCGGCCGGTTTGCTCCCCGCCACAGCTCAGCAGCACTCTCCGACTGAGCTCGCGCAGATCTTCAGTTGTTCGAGGCAATCCTGCAAGTGGGGCGTCTACGAGGGGAGTGGACAAAATTCTTCGGCTCGCTCCCAGAACCAAACATTCATTACTACTTGTACGTCAGTAATACGGGCTGCTGTATCCAGGATCCGGCGCAGCGATGGTATTTAATCGTCCAGTTCACCGCGGAGGAGGGCCAACTGATCAAAAGGTGGACCATGGCAGGCCGATTTGATATCAACGTCCACGAGCACTTCTGCGTGGCGCTGGCGGCAGTACTCTTGAGTCCACGCCAGAACGTCCTTGGCGAACAGGTCACACATAAGGTGTTGGACGGATAACACCAGCGCGTGCTCCAGGACGAACTCGCTAGCTAGTGCATCAAGCTACTCTCAAGAAATTATTAGGGCGATCGGCCTTGCCGAAGCCACATCTGGTTTTCGCATCTCGGCAGCACACCCTCCAGGGGATAGCAACACTCTGGCGAACGTCAGGGTCCCGGCTTCATGCTGCTACAACTCATCATAACTTTACTTTTTATATGTCTGCTTATGGTTGGATATATGTCAAAGTACCCGCTTGACTCCTGTTCCTATATAGGGACTTCTCGCGGAACTTCAAGCCGCATCACTGGCCAACAGCTCCCGCGCCACCTACAACCGAACATGGCAGCAATGGGGCGCGTGGCGTAGCTTCCACGGGCAACCCCTCCAGCTTCCCCGTGATCGTGAACGACATTCTCGAGATCTCGCCGAATTCGCCATCTGTTGCTGGACTGGGGCAGCCGGACCAAAGGCCAACACTGCAGGGACCATTTGTCCAAACTCAGCCATCTTGCATGGTATCGTCTCCCCCACTACGGCTACGAGGTCGGACTCAGACCAGCGCACCGTCTTGCTGTGCGCTGGATGCAGCGGATGTCAAGAGCGCCGTCCCGAAAATCTCCGGTCACGCCAAGGATACTCCGTGCACTGCGACAGTCTCTCGACTTCGACACATCTCGAGACCGCGTCACATAGGGGGTTACGGTCATGGGGCATTTCTTTCTCCTACGCAGATCGGAGTATCTAGCTGTGAATGGCAAGGTGGCCGAATTCGTACTACGTCGCAAGGATATCAAGTTCACGGACAGCAACGGTCAAATCACTACCAACAAGGCTGCAGCAAAGAACGTCACCGTGGTGATCCGCGGCAGCAAAACCGATCAGCGGGGCGAAACGGCGACACGAACACTTTCATGCTCCGTTGTGAAATGGCTGTGTCCAGTACGAACAGTATGGGCGCTAGTAATGGAAAACTCAAAAACACTACCTAAAGAAAATGCGCCGATCGCCAAAGTACGTGACAAGTACATCGTATCTGCGGTCGAAGTGAGTGGCCCCATAAAACAAGCGGCTACCAGATACAGTGAAAGTTCGGTACCCACTCACTCCAAAGCGGTGGAGCTACTGCACTGTTTGCAGCTGGCAGTAACAAGACAACAGTAAAGCTACATGGACGCTGGAAGAGCGAGTGCTTCCAAAGATACGTGCACATCGACCCCTCAGCAAGCAGTAACTTGGTCACACTCATGGTGAAGTAAGGTGGGGAAAGTTCAGTATGGACGCTGGAAGAGCGAGTGCTTCCAAAGATACGTGCACATCGACCGCATCAGCAAGCAGTAACTTGGTCATACTCATGGTGAAGTAAGGTGGGGAAAGTTCAGTATCAGCAGCTCGTTCCACTCGACATGGGGAGCCTACTCTAAGAGGAAGCCGCTGATAAATGAACTTTACCCGCTCATAATTGAGCGTGGCCCCAAGATTCACGAACGGAAATGTTGTATCCGTAGCAGAGGTATTAGCATCTTGGTTAATTTCCACCAATTTTGCCAGTTCGTCGACCACGGTAGATATTTTGGTACGGTTCAGTGGATCAAATGCGCACATTTGTTAGACTAATTCCCATTGTTCAGTTGTGCAGTTTGTCGGCTGCGATGGCAACTCGCGTTTTCTCACATGGAACGTCTCGACATTGTTTGCGAGGTTTTGCCATGGCAAACAAAAGCGACTGTCCTTGCTACCGGGGTTATCGTCAACGCACAAATGCTTCCGCGATGCACACACCCAAGGAACAATGTCAGAGGCAAAGGTTAGTTCTGTGTGCAAATGATTCTGGGCATTACCGGTAGATTTAGGAAGACACACCGGTGCTACCCAATGAAAAGCAGCTGAAACGTGAGGGTTGTCATTGGGATCTTTATCAAAACTACCCACAAAAACATCAACATTTATCAAACCTACCCAAAAAACTGTGATTGGTCGAAATGGCATCGACCGATTCTGTCCAAATCCTTATCCTGTATTATACAGGATACGAAACGTATTATCCTGTAGAATACAGGAAGCGGGGCTAGAGGGGTTAAATTCTATTGAATATGCATGCGCCGCAGTCGGCTTTTGTATCAAAACTTCTGCGTTATCTTCTGTGTTTGGCACAGACAAAATCACCAACCGGCTGGTGGTTTTCCGATACAACGGCTGCTGTTTTCGGCGACTGCCCGGTATCTTTGTGAATTTGTGTGCGTCAGACACAGATAAAAACTACCGTCACCTACACAAGTCAACACCATACTTGTTAGCGAGGTGTAGTCCACGCAACGAGTGTTGCTGATAAGAAAACGAAGGTAAGAACCAAATCAAAGCACTCAGTGATTAGCAACTGTTTGCAGGCGCGACATACGTCTAGCTACACCTACACTAACGCTTGTCTGGCGACAATTGCTTCGTATTTCTGGAAGGCCAGTAAACCACTTGAGCAGACTCGTGCGGCGCTCTTCCTTTTTGGCCGTAAAACACTGATAGGAAGTTGAAGCAAGGCTATCAGTAGCATATTTCGAGCCTCGGTGATGGTAGGCCGCTCGATCCAGTTAGTCTTCACGATTTTACATTGGATTTCCATCATCATGCAGCGAAGATAGGACAACCGCTTGCGTTTTTGGCTGTTAGATAGATCTTGCCATTGTAAAACCCGACACGGACCAGTGCGCTGATTCGGGTCTCCGCAACACTAATGCTCACAAGCACACCCCAAGACCATGCTTGGATTTCGAAGTCGACTGGCACGCGAGTAAGACGTGAATTGTTAAGATTCAGACTCATGACCAAAGACGCATTAGAATCAGTATTTTGCTGATCATTGGGGTGGTCGGGTTATTGTTGTGCCTACTGTTTGACAAGTTCTGGTGGCAGTGAGATTCCTTAAACGTGCTGTATCAGTGCGGTGATCCCAGTGTTATGAAGTCAGCGGGTTATACTAGCATCCAGCGTTGCTGGCGAAATTGAGCCATGATAAGCCGTCAGCTCTGTTTGCAATCCAGACGACGACAGTAGGGGCCAGAGCATTCACTGAAAGTGTTAACTTCTCCAATTGGTGCTGCAGTATGTAATGGGAGGTAGTAATGGGTTGGCAGTGGTGATACGATAAATGCTGTCACTTAAGCGGGACATCACGTCTCCGTCATTTTGTATGTTATCAGCTGGCACTAAAGCAAGAAATGCATCGCTAAGCATGTTTCGGTTATTCTGATACAACCACGACAAGTAGCAGGTAATTCCTTGCCTGTACATGTCCTCTGGCTTTGCTACGATAACACTGTTTTTCACAGCGTGTACTTGGTCGTCAAGGTCAACGCCAACGTGGCCACCTTCGGTACTTCGTCGCCGCTGTCATCATTCATTTCACCGTCGTTGCGGGGCACCTACCGGGAAGATCTGTTATCCCATGTCTGTGACCTCGAGGTTGATGGTAATGCATTGTTCTTCTCGGCGACCCGGAAGGACCCATGCCAGAGGTGAGCTCATTTTTGACCGTGCCTCTCTTTAATTCGGTCTAGATATAACCAGACTCAGGATCCCACCTCGAACTGGTGCGATCCAACGTCCTCATTATGTCGGCTGGCGCGATCGGAATTACTTCTCGCAATCTGCCGTTAACTGGTTCCTGTGACTGTTGATAATGCCGTTGGATGAGGTAGCCCCACCGTCGCGGGTCCCGATCGTGCCGCCTTGTGCATCCGACGAGAATTGTGGCCACCAGCGTTGATCCTGGGTCCCATCCGTGTACCAGATAATGAAGTGTTTCTCCTCGAACCCGATCGTGGGGCGTATTAGTCGTGAAGGTGGGGCACTCAGCGTGCTCATCCCAATCCTTCAGCTTAAGGTCACGAACATACATCGTGAGCGCCCTGATCTCTAGCTGTACCATGTTTTCCGCGGTCTCGTTGGCTTGAGGTCGATACGTCATCATCGCTCGCTGCCGTTGTCCCAGGATTTTATTGGACAATCGGAAGAAGTCGGACATGAACTCTGGTTCCAATTGTGCCTGATCATCCCGCTAGCTTGAGTCGCCGAAATACACACTTTTCGTACGATTCCGCAACCGTATGGGCCGTTCGGGGTGAGTTAATTTTCGAGATGATGTATCCTGTGAACAGATCGATCAAGATTAGCCGGTCAGTGTTCTCCTTGTGGGATCTGGGTAGCGACGGTACATGATCCATTGCAATGGTCCGGTAAGTATAGGTTGTTTACAGATTCTTTGGCGATTCTCTTTGGATCACGGGTATTCCTTTACCAGTTTCAGAGTCAACGCATTCTCCCACGTGTCGCTAAACGCTCTGGTATAATCCTCTCAAATGGAACTGATTTCGGATCCACTGGTAGGTGCGGCCTACTCCCTGATGTCCGCCCTCTAACGTACGATTGTTATACAAGGTGCTACAAAGTCTTAATTGCCTAGATCCGTGTCCTCTCCGTGCTCGGCTGCGTAGCAGGCACAAAGGCAGCGTCGCTCCATTCTCAACGCAAGACGTCACGTAATAGCTGGTTTTGCGATATATATTGCCCCCTTCATGATGGCCATGCGGTGATCAGTAAATGTGTCGTATTTGCCGCGAACAAGCAGCTCCTCCTTCCGCTCTGCGACAAAACGCTTCAAGCGCGTCTTAAGGACGGTCCAGCATCCTTTTATCGGATTGAGCATTGGATTGTATGGCGCCAGCCGGAGAAGCACAAGCTTAGAAACGTTGAACATGCCGTCGGCCACATCCATATTGCACACGAATGCCTCCACCTGGCTATGAGCCGAGGCGTTGTCGGCGACAACCACCACCTTGTTGGACGAATTCTGCTCGTGGTACTCATCCGTTCCCCGCGCAGCAACAAACAGGTCAGCTACAAACCTTGCGTTCTCTTCCTTTCGAATCGACCCATCATGCGTTCGCATCAGCACGATGCCATTCTTCGGCGACAAACCACCTTGGACATGCATATTTGCACCTTGAGATTGTACAAGGGGAACAGTAGCTGGTTGATCAACGCAAGCCCACCATTCCTCACACGACAAATACATGTTAAAGTTCTTTTTATCTCATATCCCCGTTCTTGACGTGCTTGTAAGCGCCTCCAGAAACTCCTTCCTCTTAGCCTTGTTAGTTGTATTGTTCATCGTCACCTACTCGATTCGTAGCTTCTTAACACTGTAAATCATGCCTTGCGGTGCTCGATGAACTGAGGGCTTACTAACCGAAACTTCAAGCTCATTACGAAGGCGGTCAGCCATTTGCTGA